AATATTTATTAATATTCACTCTTGTGATAAATATTTTGTAGATTCTAAACAAATTGATTTAGCTATACCAGATGACTTACACGAATAAGTTAAATCCTATCACTTATTATGTGTTAAATTATTTATTTATTTTTATTTATCTGGCTACTATAGTTTAAATGTCTTGAGTAATGATATTTTGAAATTTGAATGTCAAATATGCACACTAAATAAAAAATAATTTTTGACAAAAAAATAAATGTAATTTTTAATAATCATTGTTATCATACATACATAATTGCAGTAGTATTGTTTACCTTTTCAAATCAATGGTTTTCATTTATTATAGTATTGACAAATTGAAGTGATGTACTTATCAATATATCATAAATAATTTATTAATATTAAAAATCTTAAAATTTAATAATGTACATGTATCTGAATAATTTAAATATAATAAAAATTATACCAAAATACCCACATCTAATCATTTCAACTTGCTTGTTAAACACTATTACAGTCAACTTCTAGAAGTGGTTCCCCATCCTCCAGATTTGGTTGTCCCAATTACTATTGTGGGTTTTGTTGAATCAAACAATGTCAAACTCCTGATCTTATTTGAAAACTCTGATCTGGAAGCTTTGATGTTTCCCCCAATAGAAAGAGACACTATGAGTACATTAAAAAATACCACCTTCAATAGATAGCTAGGTCCTGCCTATGTTAGTACTAGCCACATTGATGTTTGAGAAAAGGAGAAATTTTCAAAATTGGAACCAGATACTGGCCACCAAAAATGCAAACATCTATCAAAAATCACAGCCTTGCCATTGAATTTCCTTTTTAAAAAGAAATAAGTGAGTAAAGGCTTCCTCAGATCTTCTACACCTTGATGATGACCAAAGACAAATAGACCCACTTGCATGGAACGGCAATACTATGCCAAGCAATCACCCATTACACATTTACCTGCACTACCACAATGTTCCAGAACAAGTTGTGGAAGGTCCCTGGGATGGTGAATTAGGCATTTCTTCAAACATGTTCAAACACATAAAATTATGTCTTCACCTTCACTCTATATGCCCTTTTTGCCCTTTACAGCTATTTTCGCCGCACAAACTGAGGGGGAACTCACAATGAACATTGTTGTCAAAGAGCTGGATACTGAGGGACTTATTCAGTTATTAAAGTGAAAAAACTTAGGTTTAAAAGAGAAGAATATATTTCTGGGTGTATCTTTTCCGATATAACAGGAGATGAGTTCCGTAGTATGGGTCTACTGTTTGGGGCTGCAAAAATTCTAGCAGATTTCACCGAAACGCTAAAAACGCAAAAAATTGAAAGTATTGTACATTGAAAGATGTTGCAATGGTAGAAATACTTACTATTTTTTTTTTTAACAGAACGATATAAAATCGATGAAAATGATGAAATTCTAGAACTATGTATGACACTCATCAAGACCGAGTTGCCCATTCTGGAAACCCTACTTGCCGACGATAATGAAAGAGAACGTTGTGAATATGTAGAATCTGTCCTAGATCCAGCAATACATATTGTCAGAAGGATCACGGGAAAAAAGGTTACTCGCTACCCACGGATGGAAGTCACTGGGGAAGATAATACTGGTCGAGTAGATTATGCCGTAAGACACCTCTCGGAACTTATCTGCATAACCGAAGGTAAATTTTGGAATATAACCGAAGGGTTTGTGCAAAATCTGCTCCAACTTCAAGGTTTATCTCAAACCAACAAGCGCAGTATTGATACTGCTTTCGGGGAAAAGAATTATATTTACGGAAATATACCAACACAGGAATTTTTTGCACAAGTAGGAATCCGCTTAAGGTTGAGTTAAATGAATCCGCATTAGAAGATTTAAATGAGGAACTTAGTTTACGCAATCATGTAAAAACAATTCTGGAGGTGATCGTGGGTTTATTAATAGATAAATTAGGAACTGTCGAACCACCGGTTAAAAAGGTCAAGTAGGATATATTACATCCTGAAAAAAATTCTTTCATGAAATTGTAAGAGCTATATGATTTTTTAATATCAATAAAGAAAGGCCAAACTTGCATGTTAAAACATTAATCAAATATTTGTGATATGGGTTGTGGAGTGATTTGTGTTAATATACCTTGCTTTTTACCAATATGAATTTAGTTAGTTATTACAAATCATAAGGGTACTTTGACCTTTATTGTATTCATTTTCACAATTGATCTTTTCTAGTTACTTCTACGATTACACTGGGATCACCTTGTGTGATTGCAAAAATTCTGAATTCGATACTTGGGTATGTTTATCCAAAATATGTTGATTTAGGTTTTTTTTATCCGCATCTCTCCGACCTCGGAAAAATCTCAACATCTAAGAGGAAAAAGTGGGCTAGTTCACCAATTATCAGAATGAAGTGCATTTATTCTTGAACTTTCCAGTATATGGTAGGAGCATGTGATTGTTCGGTAATCTGTTAATCGGGTTTGTATGGATTGTCAATTAAAGATTTTTTAGAAATTAAAAATTTAAATTTAAAAATACCTTCATTTCTGCTAGAGTTTCTATTCTTATTATTATTCGAAACATTCGTTTTATTTCAAACCATTTGTTTTATTTCGAAACATTCGTTTTATTTCAAACCATTCGTTTTATTTCGAACCATTCGTTTTATTTCGAATTATTCAAATTATTCATTGATTCAAATTATTCATTGTATCCGAATAGAAACCCTAGTTCTGGTCAAGGGCAAGGTTTTCTATTATTGCAGCAAGTTCTGGTCAAGTGTCTCAGTTTTCTTTCCAGATTCGTATGCTCTAAAAAAAAAATAGAAATATACTACTTGAGCATCACTACAAGCAATATAGTAAAACCAAAAGGGTTGGCCAAACCATTAATCACCATAAAGGATTATGAATCAACCACACTAGCTTTATTAATTGATTATAGTTTTTATTATTAAATGTATATTTGAAGGAAATTTCGAGTATATTTATACATATATAAACTCGATAAGTCGGTCACGCGGGGGCGGGCACATTTGACCGACTTATCGAATTTCATATAAATTTTTTGAATTTTATTTAATAAAATATAATAAATTGTTTAA